AAGTTGTGGTATATTCACACAATGGAATACTATGCTGCATTGAAAACCAAGGAACTCATGCAATATTATTCAAAATGGGTGACCCTAGAGGACATTATGATGAGTGAAGTATCTCAGTCACAAAAGGACAAATACTGCATGGTGCCACTGTTGTAAAACAGGACTGACATTGGGGTTGGCGGTGATTGAGAAAGATGGATTCAATAATGTATACTGCATTGAAACATATGAGGGAGAGAACTGTTTAAAAGGGATATGTGATTAGGTATTTCTGTCATAACAGGAGTCCAGAATGAAGGCTGCATACTGGAGTGGACCTGGGGGAGGGATTGTAAAACAATGAAAGAATTTTACTTTTCCAAGAGGGTAGTGTTCTACTGGGGGAGTGTTGGGAGGTGAGAAAAGTGCAGCAATGAATGAATGGAAATCCAAAGTCTCTGTAAATTTTCACTGAAATTAATAATAAATTTTTTTTAAAAGATCAAGTAATAGTGGGCATGGATCAATACTGATTAATTTTATAGAACACAATGTATGGGATGATCATACGAAACACGAAGTGATTGAAGGAGTGTGTGAAGCACAATGTATATGAACGAAACACAATGCATTTGAACCTTGTATGGAAAACAATACAAAATTGAAGAAAAAAATTAAATCATGATCATAATCACCAGCTGCCTCATTAGAATAGCAGGGATCAAAAAGAAATAATGGGAAACAGTGAATGTTGTTGAGGATGTGGAGGAACTAGAGCCCCTGAACATTGCTGGTGGGGATGTGCAGTGCAGTACATTACCTAGCATGCTTGGCACTGCCCCGCACGGTGGTAGAGAGTTAGGGAATAAAAGGAAGCACCTCCAGGAGATGGGCTGATGCAGTGGCTGGAAAAGGCTCCATCACAGTAGCAAGTGCAAGGAAGGTGAGAGGTTGGGCATATTTTGTTCTGTTGTGCATGGTACCGTCATGAGAGAGGACTAACGTTAGGACACGCAAGAACAATAACAATAATAATGCACGATACTGTGACTCCTACAAAATGATTGAGTGAGACAACAACATGCCAATAGGTGCTTGTGACCCACCAAGGGGATTGGTCTACTCGCTAAAAGTATAAATGAGGTGCGTTGAACCCTTGTGGATACGTATTGTTGTTAGGTGCTATTGAGTTGCGTGTAACTCATAGCAACTATATACACAAAATATCCAAATCCTGTCCTGTTCTGTGCCATCTTCATAATTTCTGACATACTTGAGTCCATTGCTGCAGTCACTGTGTCAATACAGCTAATTGAGGGTCTTTATTTCTTTCACTGACCCTCCACTTTTTCAAGCATACTATCTCTCTTCATGTGAGCATGAGGCCGTGTAAACAAGGGAGTTGTTGGAAAACCTAGTAAAGTCAATAGTCTTACCATCCTGATAGGCTTAAAAATTAGTCAATTTTAAGGCCAAGAGGGGATCTTACGACCATCAGGAAGAAAGAAGCAGGATCTTTGTGCTGGGAACCTCCTAGACCCAGAGAGTTTCTCACAAACAATTGAGAAGACTATGTCCTGGATCAGGCACACCTTAGTCTCCAGACTGACATTGCTGCTTTTTAAGCACTCTCTAGAGTCCCTGACAACCAGTGTTACTAAAGCAACCCATCTTTTGATTTTCTGAGTGCTGGTGCCAAGGGTGTTGATTGTGGATCCAAGCAAGGTGAAATTGTTAAAAACCACAATGATTTCTCCACCTTCCATGAATGCTGCCAATTGGCTCGGTGATGAGGTTTGTTGTTTCTTGATGTTGAGCTACAATCCATATTGAAGACTGCACTGACCCTTCTGTAGCAAATCCCTCAAATCCTCCTCAGTTTCTGCAAAACAATTGTGAGTTGCCATCGAATTGACTCCAACTCTATGAAGGACAAAATGAAACCCTCCCTGGTCCTGTGTCATCCTCAACACTCTTTTGTTGGATTTAAGCCCATTGTTATGATTCTTTGGGAAACCCTTCAGTTGGAAAGTTTTAAAGGTGAATTGGTTAGAAAAACACATTCTGACAATGTGGATGTTCTAGAGATGGCTAGTCACAAAAAGCAGCCAGTCATGACTAAAAGACATAAAAACTTGTGCACAAATTGTTATGAGTTGGACTGGATTTCCCCCCAAATAGGTATCAACATTTTGACCATTTGCTGTTAGGATTTAATCACAAGATTGAATCACCTGGGCTGCTTGTCATTTGTCATTGAGTTGATTCTTTTTTAAATTTTTAAAAATTTTATTTTATTAATTTTAATGAACATTTACAGAGATTTTGGATTTCCATTCATTCATTGTTGCACTATTTTCTCACCCCCCCCCAGTTCATTCCTCTCGTTTTTCCCCTTGAAAGTCTGTTTTAATTGTCCCATTGCCACAGTCCTTGTCAAAACCAGTTCTGATTAATCTCCTTTGTCAGTGTGTCCTTTGCCATGCCCTATCACTTCTTCCTGAGAGAGATTTCACCCTGATTCATGAGGAAAAGGGGACAGCATATTCTCTTAGCTATTTCCTGCTGAAAAGGGACGCTGTAGGTTTCGATGAAGATCTCCTCTCACTACTCTAAAGGGCCCCTTTGGCAATAGGAAACACATAGACTATTGTGGAGATTCAGGATGGATAGTGAAGAGATTGAGATTGTTCACAGCTTTAGTTTGCTTGGCTCCACAGTCAACACTCTCGGCACCAGTAGCCAGGGAATTAAAAGGTGTATTGCCATGGGAAAGTCTGCTATTAGGGACCTCTCCAAAGTACTGAAGAGCAATGGTATCTCTCTGGAGACTAAGGTGCATCTGATACAGGCCATGGTCTTTGCAATCACTTGTTATGCATCAGAGAGTTGGACAATGACCAAGGAGGATAGAAGGAGAATTGATGCCTTTGAGCTGTGGTGCTGGAGAAGAGTATTGAGAGTATCATGGACTGCCAAGAAAACAAACAGATTCATCCTGGAAAGGGTTAAGCCGGGTGGCTCCCTGGAGGCAAGGATTCTGAGGCTCCGTCTAACATACTTTGGACATGTTGTAAGGAGAGACCGGTCCTTGGAGAAGGACATCATGTTTGGGAGGGTGGAGGGACAGCGCAGGAGGGGAAGGCCCTCTATGAGGTGGATTGATTCAGTAACTGGGGTAATCGGGATGGGAGTGTCAGAGACAATGCGATTGGCACAGGACAGAGCAAAGTTTAGGGCTATTGTACATAGGGTCACTATGAGTTGCAAGTGACTTGACGGCACATCACAACAGCAACAATTGTAGAAATTTATTTTTGGAATTTAGATGCACTGTTATCAATTGTGCTTATGCATACATGTTCATATCCTTGAAGATGCGTCATGGAACTGTTGCAGCCAGAAGACACAAATTTAACTAACAAGTTAAAAGTACATGGGTCAAAAGTTAAAAGCAATAGTATTCCAAGTAGAGTTTCTAACAGTGGCACAAATCAAGTTACGGAGGGAAGGTAGTACTTTCTTCGGGGTAAGAGGAAGGTAGTTCTTAAAATAAAAAGCTTATTTACTAGCACTTTGTCTATTATAGTATAAAGGTTAGGAACCACAAGATGTAGAGGCTCAACTATGTCATTTCTTGTTCTTAAGTCCTGGATCAAATTCCATCTACCGCTGGGTTGTTTTACAGCTTGGAAGTCTGCTTACAAGGCAGAGGTGAAGTAAGGAACTATTTATGAGGTTTTCCATCAACTCCAACAACTAAGAAATAGTGAGAATAGTTGGTACCTCAGAAGGCTTTTAGCACCAAATAATAGGCTCTTGTGTCCAGGAGAAAATGAATATACTTACCAGTAATGTTAATGCTCACCCATGGCTCTTCTGGGAGGATCTGAATCTTTGAAGTATCCTCCTTTGTTTCCACACTGAGTTGATTCTAATCAATGATGACCCCATGAGTGTCCCAGTAGGACTTCTCTACGGGATTTTCAAGGTTGTTATCTTTCAGAAACATATGGGCAAAACATTGCGGGTTTGAACTATCCACCTTTCAGCTTCTAGCCAAGTGCTTAACTGCTTTACTCAAGGGCTTCAGAATCATCTGTCCTTCAGCAGAGCAGATAATGGTCCATAAGGCAGTCAAACCAACCAATCTGTTGGTATCACACCAGAGTGGGGTGACTTCTAAAGCTAATGACTTTTGAGCTGTTGGGGGTGGGGAAGCAGATTGATATAGAGGCACACTCACACCAGAGGAGGCAGACAGCATAAGAGGGTCATCTACAAGACAAGGAACCAAGAAACACCCAAGACTAAATGGGTAGGAATCAGTGCTGCCACAGAAGGCAACACTGTAGACAATCAGTGTCCCCTACAAGAAAGGAATCAGACCTGCTCTGATTGGATTTTCAGTATCCAGAGCTCTGAGACAATGAATTTCTGTTCTTTGAAAATACCCATTTATTAGACTTGAGTTACAGCAGCCCCAGGAAAATAAGACACCAACATTCACTGCAGCAGTTGTTTTTAGCTGAAACAATGAAAATATCAATAAATGAATGGATAAACACAATGTGATCCATCCTGGAACATTTCTTAGTCTTTAAAAGAAACGAGACATTGGGTCTTTCGACAATGTCAAAGAACCTCAAAAACATTATGCTCAGGAAGAGAAATCAGGCACAAAAGACTAAGTGTTGTGTGTATTATTCCATTGCTATGAAATATTCAGAACAGGCAAATCCATAGAGACAGAAAGCCAATCAGTGGCTGTCAGGGGCTGGGAGCAGGGGTGGGGGTGGGGAGGGATTAATTGTACAGTATTCAGCCTTTCATATCTGACTTCTTTTTCTCAGCATGTTTCCTTTTGTGTTTGTTACTTGTAATAATACCTAAGCTGAGAAATAAATCACGTGTCATGAAATGAACTTTTTTTTTTAAATGAAGAAACATCAACTATTTTATTTTCCTGTGGGCACTGTTTTCTATTGCACCAACTTCATTTCAAATTAAACAAAAAATGTTTAGAACTGGATCACTTGGCCCTTTCTCTTCTTATTGCCTCCCAGTTCAAAATGCTTGCATCTCTTAATGGCTAGCATCCTCTTGGACCTGCAGTTAGGCTCAACACATTCAAGCCTCAGCACAATCTTCTTTGTGGTTTTGGCCTTCTTCCCGAAAATGGGCTTTGTCTGCCCGCCATAGCCACTCTGCTTCCGATAGTAGCGCCTCTTGCCTTGAGAGTACAGGGAATCCTTTCCCTTCTTGTACTGGGTCACTTTGTGCGGTTGATGCTTGCCACACTTCTTACAGAAAGTCCTTTGGGTTTTGGGTATGTTGACCATCTCTGCAGCAGAGTTGTCGACGCTGTGTAAACTAGAACTTGAGAGTGCGTGCTCCTCACCTCGCTCCGATCGTGCCTAATCGGAAAGAGAGGGAAATACATTTTTTAAAATGTGTGACTCAGGATAAATACGCTTAACACCACTGTTATGAAGCAGGACTGACATGGGAGGTTGGAAGAAGAACAGGATAAAAGAGAATAGACAAGGAACACTGTATTGGAACAGATGAGGGAGAGAATATGATTAAAGGAATATATGATTAGGCATTATATCTAAGACAACCATAGAGAATAAGAGGTACATTGCAGAAAGGACTGGGGGTGGGGAAAGGGAAGAAGGGGTGGAGGGAGGAAATTGTGGAACAATGAATGATTTTTTTTAAAAAAAGAAAGTGTACAGGGGAGGGAGAAGGAAGTCAGAGAGAGCAAAATGTGCAATAATGAATAAATAAATGAAAATTCAACTTTTCTGTAAAATTTTGTTTAAAATCACAATTAAAACTATACAAAAAAAGAAAGTGCATCATTCACTGGTCTTTATTTTGCTCACAAAGTTTCACAAGCATCACTACTACCAAACCTAGAACACTCTAATCATTCCAAAAAGCAAAGTCCACACCCACTAGCAGTCTCCCCCTTCTCCTAAGCTCTAGACAACCACTAATCTCCTTTGGTTCTTCACTGATTTGCCAACACTAGACGTCACACATCAACAGAAGTACACACTATGTGCATGACCTTTCGTTTCTGGTGTCTTTCAATCAACATGATGTTTTTCCAGGTTCATATGTGTTGTAGCATGGATTAGAGCTTAATTTCTCTTCATAGTTGAGAAATACTCCATTGTGTGGGCAGACCACAATTGTGTTTATCCTTTCACCTGCTGATGGACACTTGGGATCTTGCCACCCTTTAGCTCTTACGAACAGTGCTGTTATAGACATTTGGAGCACAAGGCTCTGTCCACATTCCTAGATTCAGGGTTAACTCATCTCATCTCCTGGGCAGTGGCATGGCTATTGTACACTGTGTGCGGGCACTTCGTTCTCAGTTCCTTTTAATGGAAAATTCCTGAAAGAATCCCCATATACCCAGAGAGGTGTGAATTCTCTGACCCCAGGTTCCTTCAGCCTGCTGCCTGGAGAGAACCCCACTGCCTTCAGGCAGCATCCAGCCATGGGGGTGCACTTCTCTTGACCCCATCACCCTGGGATCCAGCCAATCTGGCTAGAGTGCATGGGACTCCAAAGGTGTCTGGTCATGAAAACAAATGTTTGAGCAAGGAACTGAAGTCAGTAAGCACGATGCACTTTTGTGCAGAGTGGTGGGTTGGTCCCTGGGTGTTAACATGTGATTGTAGCTGGCCCCTTGAGGATACAAAGCTGCTGTTTGTTTTCTGGGGTGGCCCCTTCTTCCAGATAGTCTACAATCTGCTGGCTCCCCACACCCTCCCTTCACCTGGGGCCTACTTTCACTTTATTCAAGTATCAGCTGTCTCGTGACTTTTCCCCTAAATCAAGCAAGTGCTGATTATCCCCAAGTAACCTGCTGTCACCTTGGTGATGCCCTCTCCCCTTAAAGAGAATGTCTTTCTTGGTCCCAGGACCCATACAGCCTCACATTCTGGGGCCTAGAATTAACAGAAAGGGAAACTGAGTGCCGGGAGAGGCTCCAAGTGTTCAGGCATCATTGATATATGACAAAGAGGGGATCCAAACCCTGCTCTGCTTGGCTTTTAATTCTAGAGTGTTGGGGAAGATGGTGTGGGAGAGAGAAGAAGGGATAGGGGATTTGTGTATTAGTCAGGGTCTGTGTATTTGTCTTATGGACTGCTGTAACAAATTACAGAGCTTGTCTAGTGGCCCAAAAGGCCTTCCTGCCTTAGTCTGTTAATACTACAGTGGAGGTTGTTCATAAACAGAAATTTATCCTGCCTTGGAGGAGGTGTAACCAGGAAGCTTCTTAAATGCAAGGATGGTGAAAATTTGTCTCATATACTTTAAGCATATTATTAGGAGGGGAAAGGCCTTGAAGAAAAACATCATGCTGGGAAAAGTAAAAAATATTGTGCTGGGAAAATCAAAGGGTCTGTGAAAGAGAGCAAGAGACTCTCCACATGATGGATTGACACAGTGACTGTAACATAGGCGTACATATGTTGAGGATTGTGGAGATGGTGCAGAACAGGGAGGGCCACAGTTCTATCATTGTTCATAGGATCTCTATAAGTTATAGTCAGCTTGATGGCTCCAAACAACACAAAACCAGTTTAGGAAGCTAGAAGTTCAATTCCAGAACACAGAAAAAGGGGAAGATTTTTCCCCTCGGTCAGGTCTGAGGGAAGGTCTTTGTCTCCTTTGAACAACTCTAGGCCCTTGGTGTCTTCCATATGTCTTCACGTCAATTTTTCTCCTAAGTCTAGGAGGTTCTCAGCACAGGGACCCCAGAGTACGAAAGATGCATTCCTAGCTCATCTCTCTTTGTGGTAGCAGGTATCTCTCATATGCTTGCTTGTTTCATCTATTTGACATCTCAGAAGAAATGGACTTACGATACAACCTCAACCTGTGGACGATGTTCTGTCAATTTCACATAACTGCATCTCACCCTTTCCAATTAACATCACAGAGAATTTACAACTCATGAGAATTACATCTGATGTCAAAATGGAGGACTATCACATAAAACTGAATGTCACAGCCTACTCAACTCGACACATATTTTGGAAGCACACATTTCAACCTATAACTTTAGTTCGAATCCACTCTGTGGTGCTGTGGAAGAAAGGCCTGGCAATCAGCTTCAATAAGAGTGAAAACCAAGAAAATACCACGGAGCTCAACTCTACTTTGAAACACATGGATTTGAAATAGACTCTATGTCTGCTAACAATGAAATGGGAGACTTACAAGTAAAGAAACTTATTTATTTATTGCAAATACCTTTTATAGGAAACATAAACACAGGCTATACACATGGATTTCACCTGATGGTATGCATAGGAATCAAATAGATTACCTTTGTGGAAAGACTCACTCACTGGAGAAGCTCAATATCAGCTGTGAAAACCAGGCCAGGTGCTGATTGTGGGACAGACCATCAACTACTCATACGCAAGTTCAAGCTGAAGTTGAGCAAAATTAAATTAAATCCACGGGAACCAAAAATTTGACCTTAATTCTTTCCCACTCAAATTTCAAAACCATCTCAGGAACAGGTTTGAGGCCTTAACCACCAATGAGCGTAGACCAAATGAGATCTGGGAGGATATCAAGAAAATTGTCCATGAAGAATGCAAAAGATCATTACAAAGGCTGAAGAAGAAGAAAAGACCAAGTTGGATGTCAGATGAGACTCTGAATATTGCATTAGAGAACCGAGAAGCCAAAGCTAAAGGAAGAAACCAAGAAATCAAAGAGCTAAACAGAAAATTTTAAAAGGCAGCTCAGGACGACAAAGCAAGATACTACAATGAAATGTGCAGAGAGCTGGAGTCAGAAAATCTAAAGGACCGAACTCGTTCAGTGTTTCTTAAGCTGAAGAAGTTGAAAAACAAATTCAAGCCATGGGTGGCAATACTTAAGGAAACTTTGGGTAGAATATGAAATGATCCAGGAAGAAATACAAGAATATGGAAGGAGTACACAGAGTCACGGTATCAGAAGTAATTGGCTGACACAGAAGAATTTCATGAAATAACATATGGGCAAGATTCTGTGGTGGTGAAGGAGAAAGTTCAAGTTGCTCTGAAGGAACTGGCACAAAACAAGGCTCCAGGAGTTGACAGCATAACAATTGACATATTTCAACAAAGAGACGCTGCTCTGGATGTGTTCACTAAGTTGTGCCAAGAAATCTGGAGGACAGCCAGCTTGTCAACTGACTGGAAAAGATCGATGTTTGTTCCCATTCCAAAGAAAGGTGCCCCAACAGAGTGTGGAAATTACAGAACAATATCATTAATATCCTATGCGAGCAAGACTGCTGAAAATTATCCAAAAATGATTGGAACAATATGTCAACAAAAACT